TATATGTGGGTGATAAATACAGAAGTTATGTCAAATCTCTTTTAAAAAAATATATCATCACGTTATTTTAATATTTCAAAAAAATCTCATTTTGATTTAACAATATGAAACTTTTTTTATTCTCCTTTTTACCATTAAAAAAATTCATAGTTCAGTTTTTTTTGAATTTTTTTTCTAAAAATACTACTCCTTAAATTTATATTATAACATATAAAAAATATAAATATAGAATTTATTCACAATTATTTTTTTTAAAACCCCATTATCCCAATATTTTTAAATATTATTTATCATTTTTATTTAAGATATAAATTATAAGTTCAAAAATAAAATATAATAAATTTAATTTTAAAACTATTAAATTTTTAAAAAAATTATATGTATTTATAATCTACGCGGTGCGCGTGGGGTTAAAACCTAGTATAAAAAAAGAAAAAAATACCTCAAAATTTTTGAACTTATAATTTGGTGTAATATTAATTCACGAACTTGATGGTACGTCTATTCATTCCCGAATTTACATTTTTGAAAACAGTAATTTCTAAACTTGTTTAACAGTTCCATAATCGTCAATACCACTAATTGACCAAAGCAAAATTCAGGAATTATTGTATTAAAAAATATAAAGTTAGAAATTACGACGTTTAAAAATACAACTTCAGGAATTATTGTATTTAAAAATACAAGTTCGAAAATAAATAGACGTACTTACAAGTTCAGAAATTAATATTACATCAAATTACAAATTCAGAAATTTTCAGATATTTTTCCTAAAACAAATCCCTATATTATCTTATTTATGTAAAATGAAGACACCCATTCATAAATTCGTAATCACATCGAACACATTGACAATTTTTTTTGTTTTTTTTTCATTCGTTTCATTTTAATTTAAAAAACAGGAAGTAAAAACATACATATATTTACGCTTCTATATATATATATATGTTTTTTTTTATGAAATGTGATTGAATTAATACCAAAGAAAAAAACAAATGTCATAATATTTACAAATTAGAGATAGCTCTAAACAGATCTTCCATGAATAGATGGGTAAAATTACATGCTCCTACATGAAGTAATGCGATACCACTGCTGTAATAATTTGTTTTCCGTCGTGTCCGGATTATGGAGAGAAATTAGCTTGTTCCTCATGGTCCGGTCGACCTTGAGTCTTATCTGGTGGATAGTAACGTGTCGGTTTCTATGAATACGAGAGTTCATTTCCATCCAAATGGTGTATGTGATAGCCTGCGTGAGTAACTTTTTAATCATAGCCTCGTCACGGTTCGAGATTGGTTGGTCCAATCTAGAAAGTATCGGATATGTGACGGAGGGGGGTCTTCCATTAGCCGTCCAAAGTGCAACCAAATCGAGCGACTAAATCTGCAACCAAAGAACAAGTGGGGATGTGATTCCAAATCGGCGCAACATAGAATGCACCGATTCGGAGCTTGGATTCCCCATGTCTCGAGCCGGTCGGTAGTCGGGAGACGTTCTTGGAGCACCTGCCACATTAAGAACGCATGCCTTGGAGTAGCCTGTCGGAACCATGCCAAGCCACAACCTTCGAACTCAGTTCCCGAAGATCTCAGTTGTTCCCATGTTTGCCTCGAGGAAAAGAAAGTCTTTCGATTGCCTCCCGTGTGTCGCTAGGTTGGGAGGTCTGGACCGGTATCATTAGTCGGTGGATTCAACTCTAACAGCTTCAGGTGTAGCTCTTGTATTTTGTTGCTTCTCGCCGGTGGAAGAGACCACGTGTTGTTGCGCACAGCATCGACAACAGAAGCACTCTTCGGAAACCGCAGTAGACCTAGTCCTGTTTCACCAATAAACACAATGAGAGGGCCAATATCTATCCAAGAGTCATACCAGAATGATGTATCTCTCCCATTTCCGAGCTTGACTCCAATGAACTCCCGAGCCTGGTTGCTCATCTGTAGTAGCTTACGCAAATTCCAGCTCACATTTTGTTGTGCCTTGATTCCCCAGTAGGATTTTCCTTGAAGATGTTCGATTTCACCCAAGCTATCCATAGTGAACCTGCTTTACTAAACAACAACCAAACGTACTTTAGTCGAAACACCTTATTGACTTCGTCCAATCTTCGTAGTCCAAGCCCTCCCTCTGTTCGCAGTTTACATATCGCATCCCAAGCTATACGGTGACTCGGAGTCGAGTTGATTGAGTGTTGCCATAGGAAAGCCGCACATAAACTGTCAATCTCTTTGAGGAGATACTTTGGCAGCAAAAACGTCATGCTCCAGGAGTTCACTAGACCGTATATGACGGTCGTGATCAGCTAGATCTTTCCCATTGAAGAGAGAAATTTAGTTTGCCAATTGGTGAGCTTAGACTTGACTTTTTGAAGTAGTGGTAGGTACTCGGCCTTGGATAGCCTTGTGGGGTTCAGTGGGACCCCTAAATAGCGAACCGTGAGATGTCCCATTCCAATACCCATGGCAGTCGAGATGGCGATCTGCTCATCAATTGAACATCCTGCAAGAAACAACTCAGATTTCTCCGAATTAATCCGAAGAACAGATAAGTTGCTGAAGTCATGGAGCACCATTTTCACTTCCATTAGCGATTGAATATCCCCTCTGGTGAAGATAATGATATCATCCGCAAAGGAGAGATGACTTATCAACATGCTTTTGTATCTATAGTGCGATTGGATTTTCCTTCCGTAATCGAACGATCCAACATCCGACTTAATATCTCCATGGCCATGATGAACAAATAAGGTGAGAGTGGATCTCCTTGCCGTAGACCTTTGCGTCCTTTGAAGTAACTTGCAAGATCACCATTCACTGAAATAGAGAATTTAGGTGTAGAGATATATACTCAATCCAATGGGTGAACCTCGGGGGCAGCCTCATAGCTTTGAGGAGTTGGATTATTGTGCCCCATTCTAGTGAGTCGAACGCTTTTCGGATATCAATCTTTATCTTGGCGCTTTTGTGGGCCGAATTTCGGTTGTACTCTCGTATGATCTCAGAGGCAAGGAGAACGTTCTCCACCATTAGTCGTCCCTTTAGGAAGGCGTTTTGATTCGCCGAGACCAACCTTTGTGCCACAGGATGCAATCGCTTAGTAAGAATAGTTGCAATGACCTTGTAGATCGTATTACAACAACTTATCGGCCGGAAGTCTGAGAGTTTCTTAGCTCCCTCTTTATTCGGGACAAGGGTAATGGATGTTGCATTGAGCTGACCGAGAAGAGTGCTCGTGACGAAAAACTCCCTGACAGCTTTTGTTACTGCTCCACCCACTATTGACCAAGTCTCTGTGTAGAATTCTTTTGGAAAACCGTCAGGCCCGGGTGCCTTGTTGTTGGGTAAGCTGAACACTACCCCACGGATTTCCTCTTCAGAGGGGATACCGTCTATCACTCCTATGACCCCTTGGTCGTCATGAAATCTGATCAGATTTCTCAGACAAGACACCGTCGGTTTCTGTACAGTCAAGTCACTGATTCTAAAAAGCTGAGTAAAAGGAGACAGCAAAGTCCTTGATGTCTGTCTGGGATGTCAGCCTATTTCCCCGATGATCCTCAAGGAAGTGAATCTGGTTTTGTGAATTCCGCGTAGATGTGACTTTGTGGAACTAGGTCGTGTTTCTATCTCCTAGCCGTAGCCATTTGATTCTGGACCGCTGCTTGTAAAACTTTTCTTCGGCTAGGGCCAACAACATGAACTGCCTCCGTTGTTCCTTTTCCTCAGCTAGATTCCCCGGAGTCAGGGAGGATAGCAAGGTGGTTTGAGCGTCTGCTAATCGAGTTTTGGCTTCCTGGACTCACAAAGACAGCTGAGAGAATCTGGTTCTATTGAGGCTCCTTAGCGGATTTTTCAATTGTTTCAAGGACCGACATAGTTGATATTGGGTGGTGCCTTCGACTCTATCAGCTAGCCAATTGGTTCTGATTATCTGGAGAAATTCAGGAAGCAAAGTGAGATGATGGTAAATAATATATATATATATATATATGTTTGTATAATGCATAAATGTATGTGTATATTAGTGGTTATATGTGTTTTAAATTTTTTATTAAAATAACAAATCTCGAAAAAAATGCTCTAATTGGCTTCACTATAAAAAAAATTATAATCATAATTTTGTCTAAACGGTTCTGATTTCCGTCCATTAATACAATTGAAAAACCTATTTTTTAAATGCCAAATAGTTTTTAAGTAAAATTTTCCCAAATGATATTAAATATAAATATTAGTGTTTATCAAAGAAATTAAAATTCAACATATCGGGATAAAATATAGGTCTAACAAATTAAACAGTTAATACTTATGACCAAATAAATAATTTAATATATTATTCGTTATTAAGTAGGGACACATCGTTGGAATACACATAATTTGAATACAAACACAACAAGAAAAGAAATGATTATGTTTATCAAAAAAAAATAAGAGGAAAGAAAATGATATACCACAACAAATAACGGAAGAATATCTGAACAAACATCGTAAGAAAAACAATTGAAGGGAAAATAAATTGTTTTGCTTTTTTTTTTTTGTTCAAACAGTATGGCCTGTTAGATATTGATTGGTCATGGGGCGGAACATGTCAGCAGCCTCTTCAGTGATGACGTGGATCACGCGCCTAGGGAGGACAGTGTAAACCACCCAGTCACCGTCCACGGTGGCACTCGGCATCGGCATCACATAACCCATCGGGCTCCCCCATTCCGAGAAATAGTAGGAACCTAACGCCGGTGGGCCCCACCCGAAATCCACTTCCCTCACCGGGAAACGCCTCCCCGACGACACCATCACAGCAGGCCCATCATTGACCCAATAAGCCTTCGGAGTAATAGGCTTGGGCCTTTGAACCTCAATCCAATCAATCAGGCCCATGAAGTGCTCCTTGCTCGTTCCTGTCTCGATCACGCCGTGGACCTCACGCGCCACCGAACCCAAAGGGTTTCGGACAAGCTCGGCCATGTCGCACTGTCTGAACGGCACCGTCAACACGTTCCCGATTTAAGAACCCATGTTGTTAACGCCGTTATCTCCCAGCCTTGTCCTCCCGTCAATGACGATTCCCAGTGCTGCCTTTCTCGCACCGCCTGACTTCTGCTTCGTTTTCGCCGTCAGTTTCCACAGAAACGCACAGAAGGCTTCGAGTTTGGTGACACGCGAGTACTCGGAGCTTGCGAGACACTGAATCTCGTCGATCTTCGAGGCTTCGATGTAAAAAACTCGGCTTACAAACTCGTCGAGATCGCTGTCGGAATCGGGGTTTCGTTTAGGTTTAGGTGGTGATGAAACAGATGGCAAAGGCATGTACAACTCATCCATGGAAGGGCTGTGCTTCGGAGGGTGTCTCGAGCTGAGCAGCGACCGTCTGAACGATGGAACTATGGAAATGGGCATGGAACGAGCGGACTCGGCCCACGATACGAAGAACAGATTGGCCGAGTAAGCATCCGCGATGCGGTGGTCCACCCGACACGTCACGATCAAGCTTCCGTAGTTCAGCTCTGTTGCCTGTACGACCATCACCCCACGCTTCTTCTCTGGGAAAAGCCTGTAAATGCTCTTTTCGAGCCTGTTCCGGAGAATTTATGGGAAAATAAACAGATCAATATTTCGAAATAGATATGAAATGATTATAAAAAATGGGTTTCCGTTTCCCTCCCTTGTACAGGTCGAGATCATGGAGGTTGACATATGCGCGAGCCTCAGAGAACTCGACGCCATAGTTATTACAAAGAAGCTCGGGCTCTCCGAGGCTGTTGGTGGTGATCTCGCCGGCAAAGGCGTAGTAATTGTTGGAGTTAAACATATTCCTCACGTATGGTTTTTTGATTTGGTTATTTGTGATTGTTTTTTTTGTTTGAATAAGTCTTGAAAGACGTTATACTCAAGACCTAGTATAACGCATGTCTCCCATATTTCTAGGTTTGATTTGTTTTGTATTATTGATTATAAATAAGAATGCAAGCTCACGAAAAAGATAGAGCGTGGGTTTTTCTTTCACTTAAAACCTTCTGATCAAAGTATTGCTTTCATAAATTATTTTTTTTATGTGTTGCATTATCTTCGTTCAATTGTTGGGTCCTTTTTGAATCTACATGTGGTATCAGAGCCACGGTTGAAAGATTCGGTGAAAGGAGAGTTTTTTTTTTAAAAAAAAATGTCTCAATCATACTCGAGTGCCGTTCGAAGCGGAGGAAACGGCGGTAACGGTAGCCAGAGTGCGACGGAAGTGAGACCGTCGATGAAAGAAGGTAGTGTAACCCTTCAGTATCCGATCTTATCGAAAACAAATTTCGCCGTTTGGGCGATGAAGATGAGAATAAATATGAAAGCTCAAGGCGTATGGGAAGCTGTGGAGTCGCAAGGTCCAGTTGATCCTCGACTCGACATGTTAGCCTTGGCAGTGATATGTCAAGGGTTAGACGAAGAAACGCTACAACAACTAGAAGAGAAAACTTCAGCAAAAGAAGTTTGGGATGCCCTCAGAACTATGCACCTAGGAGATGCTCAAGTTAAGAAGGTGCGAGCACAATCCCTAAAAAGAGAATTCGAAGGGATTAGGATGAAGGAAAGTGAATCAGTTGATGAATTCACTGGTCGGATATCTACTGTGGCAAGCAAATTGAGGGCTTTGGGAGAAACAGTAGGTGAGATTCAAGTAATTGAAAAGATGCTTAGGTCTGTGACGGGGAAGTATCTCCAGTTAACTTCGATGATGGAACAATTTAGAGATCTTACGAAGATGACTGTCGAGGAAGTGAAGGGAGCACTCAAGGCGCATGAAGAACGTCTAAAGGAACTCGATTCAAGGGATGACGAACATGTGTTGTTAGCACGCGGTGAATGGAAAGGTCGCGGTCGCGGCCGAGGACAATGGCATGATAGATGTCGTGGTCATTTAGGAGGTGACAGAGGTAATCAAAGATTCGACATAAGTAAGGTGCAATGTTATAATTGTCATAAATATGGACATTTCAAGGTGAATTGCAAGGAGAAGCAAGTACATTTGGTGGAAGAAGATGAGGAAGAAGCTACTTTGCTATGATGGAGGAATATGTTTAAGGAGGTGATTGTTGGAGTTAAACATATTCCTCACGTATGGTTTTTTGATTTGGTTATTTGTGATTGTTTTTTTTGTTTGAATAAGTCTTGAAAGACGTTATACTCAAGACCTAGTATAACGCATGTCTCCCATATTTCTAGGTTTGATTTGTTTTGTATTATTGATTATAAATAAGAATGCAAGCTCACGAAAAAGATAGAGCGTGGGTTTTTCTTTCACTTAAAACCTTCTGATCAAAGTATTGCTTTCATAAATTATTTTTTTTATGTGTTGCATTATCTTCGTTCAATTGTTGGGTCCTTTTTGAATCTACAGTAAGGGGGCGAGAGTCTCTGCCAATGCCTTCTTGAGGGTTACGACCATAGAGGCAAAGGCCACGTCTACATGGTCGTAGCAGAAGAAGACGCAGAAATCCACAGGAGGAAGCATGAGATCGAGGTTAGAGAGCGGCAACCAATACTCTTGAACCGGCAATGCAGCCGATACGGCCTCGGTTTTGCTCACTCTCACCAAGAAATCTTCATTTCTCGCCATTGTATATAGTGTTTGAATCGTGAGGTAATGATGAGGATGCACGTGCAGAAAGAGGGATGGACCGGAGGTTATTTATAGTGCGAACGAAGGGCATCATGGTCATATACGGAGAATGCAGAAAAAAGAGAGCTGACATTTTACCATTGAAATTGAAACAGTATTTAATTATATGGAATCTACGTCAAACCCAAGGAATTTTTCATGCATGTAATACTAAAAGCGTGATGTTATACCTTCCATACGTGTAGATTTCGCTCGGTCCGTTTCTACGACCCAAACGAGGTTAACAGTTTCGTACATTATTGAAACTTTGAAATTATAAAAGGTCAAATTAAAATGAAATAAATAGACCGCCATCGTCAATTTGTAGCGTCAAAACTATGAGATCGCCCACGTCAAAACCACAATCTGATTTAAAAAAAAAACGTGTTTGACATCTTCAAAATGGTAATGTTTTGTCGTGGTTGGTTTTACTAGCATGAAGTTCGACATGATCTTAATTAGTGTCGATTAAATTATTTTTCACATGTACTTGTAAAAAAGGTTGCATTTCGGTTGGATCATTAAAATTTTTAAAACATTATAACTATTCAGAATCATTTTATCCAAGTGGATTTATATTGACAAAAGTATTTACTTTTAAAAGCAAATTCTTTAATACAAGGTTGTGATTAAACCGGTTTGATGATTATCTAAATTGGTGATACCTGAATACATACAGCCGAGAAGACATCCAACATGAACTTGCATGGTTGCAAAAAAAAAAAACATGACATCAAATGCATCGATCATCAACAACACTCGAGTTCATTACATATGAAACAACCAAAATTTACATTTTTCTCACAAGAAGTAAGAACATGTTGAGATATACACGATCTTGAAGAATATTACGAGATATATCGTATAATGGAGATCTTATCAAATCCGGAAAATATATATTTAGAAATATTTATCATTATGTCTACTTTACTTATTCAATGTAAGACTCTCATCTATTTATATGTTATTTTGATTATCAATAAAAATATCATTCCGTAAATTTCTACATGGTATCAGAGCTTCTGGTTCTTTTCTAATTTATTGTTCTTTTCATAAAAATGATGATGGATAATGAGAGTGAAGATGAAGATGATGATATACCGATCCAGTGGTAATATCATTTCAAGTTTTTTTTTATTAAGAATAAGAGAGTCATTTTGTTTTTGTTTTTTGTTTTTTTTTTCCTCTCATAATCCCAATGTTTCTAAAGATTATTCGCATAGTCGCCAATTATCTTATTCTTGCCAAAAAATTTGTTGTCATTAAACGCTTTCGCGTAGTTGCCTTTCAATCTCGGATGAATCAGAGTTATTCCCAAGACTTCTTTCCACACCGCGATTGTCGTTCTTTTTTTTGTTATCATCGAATGATTCTTTTGTGCGTGGTGCCAAAGTTGCAGCGCAGTCGTTTGTTTGATTTTTTTAGTTATGTATTTTATTGACACAAGTTCGCAAGGTGATGTGGTTCAAGCGGCGTGCGTTTAATCATCTTTTCAGCAAGTTGGGCGTTTCGTGATCTTCCACGCTCCAACTTGAAGGGGGATGTTGAGATATACCAGATCTTGAAGAATATTACGAGATATATCGTATAATGGAGATCTTATCAAATCCGGAAAATATATATTTAGAAATATTTATCATTATGTCTACTTTACTTATTCAATGTAAGACTCTCATCTATTTATATGTTATTTTGGTTATCAATAAAAATATCATTCCGTAAATTTCTACAGAACACACTCCCTCCCTCAGTATATGTTGTCAGGGAGGAAGAGGTATGGGAAGCGGGAGTCAAAGGGTAAGATGTCGCAGTTACGAGAAGCTAGAAGGCTCTGACATCTACGAGCGAGGCATTGCTCCAAGAAAGCCGCCTGATGAGGTGGAAGGTACCGAGATACCACAGCGCCAAGTTGGAGTCATCAACAAGGCTCTTGTGAAGCATTTTGGGCACTAAGAGTTTTCCTTTACTGCTTAGCCCTGCCGATGCTTGTATGAAGCCCCTCTGCGCTTCTACCAACTATTCCTTCACCCCTTTTGCCGTGTAGATCCTCACCTGCATTCGTTTTAGTATACTCACGTCATTTTTCTGATTGGTAACAAGCCAGGTGACTTGCCAAGATATTGTCTTCTGTCTATTACGTTTCCACAGCTCGCTCAGATATAGCTTCCAAACCATTCTAGATTAGTAACAGCGAGAATATCATATTACCGCAGGAGAGGAATACATTTCGTAGCTCAAAGCAAAAGCAAGAAGAGGTTTGTGTGCATCAATTGCTGCCCTCTGCTGCTCTTCTGATACTTTCAGCTTGTGGATGGCAAGAGGCAGAGCCTGCACCCCAAACAGAAAAGATACTTTGAAAAGAAGAAGGATCCTCATGATGAACTCCTCCTTACTACAAGGCTAAAGCTCATACGATTTGTGGCCTATGGAGAGGATGTTTCATCTTCAAGAGAAGAAGAACCTGTATGAAGATTTAGGAGAAGAAGAAGAAAGAGAACAGGAAGAAGATAATGGAGATGGAGACAATGATTCACTAAATGCCAAGTGTTTGGAAACCTATTTTTGTATTCTTAATCGTTGTACTATTCTTTTAATTCTCATGCATCATTTCCTAATTATGTTCTACCATTTTGTTTTTGGTTTTTTTGCAGGATAAGACGAACGAAGAATATTGTCGAAGAATCAGATCTGGTAAATGAAAGAGAGATCCAACCAATATCAAATCCGGTAAATTAAATAATTACCAATTATAATCTATTCTTTTTTTAATTAATTTAATTTGATGTACCATTGTATGTCTCTATATAACATCATTTCTTCTTGCATCCTGAATTATTTTAGTTTTGGGTCCATCGATAATATTTGATTTTTTTTGTTGTGTTATTGCAGAGGACATTGTTGGATCTTCGCCAAAGACTCCAGACCAAGAAAAGGGTGTCAAAGTCTCTAGGCGAGTTAGAAGCTTTTGAAGGACGGAGGGACATTTTAGTCATTTGTATGGTCAAGGTTATGAGACCAATTAGGGTTTCTGTATTCTTCAGACTTTGCGTTTTTCTCTGGTGCTCTCTCTCTTCTCTCTTGGCGAACTTCGGTTCTCCGGTTGCGCTGTAGTCGACTCCAGTCGATTTTCGGCGTGGTTCTGTGTTGTACCTAGCAAATAGAGGTTC